GTGAGGACTAAGATGGAATGCCTCGTTTCCAGTAAAAAGGGTCTCCGGTTCTCTAAACTCACCATACGAAATACAGCAGCATTAAGCTACTATTTCACGCTGGTATTCTGTGAGAGCGTGGTCCCTCCCCGGTCGAGCCGACCCATTCGTGCCACAACTATACTTCTAATATAACTGCAGCATGGCTCTACCACGTATATAGAGACAGTAACATAGAAATTTATTTATGTGGTTTATTACGTGGTTGCAGCTATTTTGTTGTTGCAATACGAATGGGTCGGCTCGACCGGGACCAGACCATACTCTCACAGTATACAAACGTGGAGTGTGGGTTCAAAACCAACTGACTGTGTGTCTTTAATTACAATACAAAGACATCTCATTGGATGAGGTAAAATAAAACACGTTGTTTTTACCGTCACAAAACTTTATTTCGCGAAACAAATGGAATAAATAATCCATACTACATCAACAAATATTTTGCTACTTGTTCAATCAATATTGCGAAGCGACATTTAGGAAGAAAATATCACAGTAAACAATTTATATCTATTAGCTTTTTGTATTTATACCTGTAGTTTATAAAGGCTTCTAATTAAATGTTACTTCACTTATATGATATTGTTGTATTTCAAAATAGGAATTAGATAATATAATAATATTATACAGATAAAAAATAGATAATAATACCTTTTGTTTATTTGAAATTTTAATTTAGTCAATAATGCGCGAGGAATCTACAATTAATCCTGATTTATAAATTTAACGAAATTGAGAGTTTACACGTCTTATAATTAGAAAAACAAAAAAACTAGCATCCTCTTCAAGATTTTAATGTTATTAAGCCAGGCATATAAATATTCCGAATGTAGTTCTTCATATAATACTTGCTAAAATAAATATCTGTATTTAAAACAATAAAATTAAATATGTAAACAACTATCCAATATCGCCATTAGACTTTATTAATTTAGCTAACCTCTATTATTGTGAGTGTAGTCAAAATTTAAAAGTTTTTTAGAATCAATAGTGTTTATCACAAAGACGATTGCTTTAACTACTAAAAGATACGTAATTTAATAAGAACGCATTAAACGTCATACATATGTACTTTTTCCGTGTGAGATCTTATTATTATTCGACTTAACAAAATTTTAAAGCTCGAGACCACAGAAACCTAAATAAATAGTTAACAGAAGTCTTATCACACGTACATTCCTGCCGAGACAGCTAGATATTGCCGCCTTGGTCGTATAGTTCTTCCAATTAACGAGTGCGGTCGACCTTTGGATGTGGTCGACATGTACATGCACACTGCACAGCGGTCAGCCGCGAGCGGACGCCGTCTCCGCCTGCGCCTGGCACGCACACTGTTACACTGTGCATGTACATGTCGAACCACATCCAAAGGTCGACCGCACTCGTGAATTGCAAGAACTTTATCATGTAACATCACAGAGTACTTTTTATAAACTGGAATAGTTTATAAAAAGTACTCTGTGATGTAACATTTGAGCATAACAAAATCGCAAGTTCACATTACATTGCGGTTTATTTTTTGGAGAACGTTTATAGCAATGACAGTTGTAAAATGACTATATAACGAATAAACTAACACATACCTAATGAAAAAAATATCGCGCGCTGGAGACTCATTTGTTACATATTATGGCGGCAATACAGCAAATAGATGAGGTCGTAGCCGCTGTGCGACATCTATTAGCTATTTATTTTAATTTCTGTGTAATGACCAATTATGGTACGTCATGACACAATAAAAATTAATAGATGAATTAAACTGCATTGTTATGAACAAAATTTTACAAACTGTATCACGATGTAACTAAGGATTCTTGATTTTGGTTGCTTATTCGAATAAACTGTAAAGTAACATTATATTCATAATATGTACACCATGTAAATGAATGACATTTTTCATCTATATTTTCAAAAAATACTAATTCATTTGACTTTTCAAATACTAGTTTGCTTTAAAATTAAGCTTAGTGTTCAACATTTCTTTTTTTCTAAATTGGAACATAATAACTGCATTATTGTTAAAGAAAGGTTATAATGTTTGTTATAATGCTTTACGTCGTAGAGCCACTCTGCAGCCATATATATGGACAGGACCACGCTCTCACACAATGGCAGCGTAAAATAGCAGCTTAATGCTACTCTTTTTCGTATGGTGAGTGTAGAGAACCGGATATACCCTTTTTACTCGAATCGAGGCATTCCACTTAGTCCTCAGGGTGACAACGCATTTGCATTTTGATTCCTAATTGAGGATAAATGTGGATGTCTATGGGCCACAGCATCTACTTACCATCAGATGGATTGTGTGCACGTTTGTCACCCAAATGCTATAATTTTTTTTTGATTAATTAGTGTGATGCGTGCCTATTCGTGTCAAGACTAAAATAACTACGTATTATATAAATTTTTCACCGCGTGCATTGTTATTACGGCTTGTCACGTAATTTCCAAGGACATCAATAAAAAATTTATAAGAATCAATATAATATATTTAGTAATTTAAACATTTTTACCATAACTTTAGAGAATTAACACATAAAATTTTATTTAGAAATGTATATACGAAGACGAAGTAAAGCACCATATCAATATTTTTATTTACTAGCAGCATTAACTTAAGATTTGCAAACTCTTATAAGCTGAATAGGTTTATACCTATTCATAGGTATAAACCTATTCAGCTTATAAGAGACATATAACTAAAGAAATATCTACTAATAAACCAAATATCTGAAAACCTTATGAATAAAGCACGCAGAGTTATTTCGCAAAGAGTAGCCAAATTTTAAACTTAAGTTCAAATATATAAATAATGATATACCGTTACTGCAGTTTTTGAAAATACGATAAATAAGGCTTCTACTTTTATTTGAAATTATCCCAAAATGAATGTGATTTATGGGCAACAACTTTGTTGCCTAACGATCGACCTTTACGAATGTGTACGTGCGCATTAAAATCAATTAAAATAATGCATTACATCACACCACGCATTTTGAAGTTAAAAGATATAATATGGTTCATTCAGCCATTAGCCTTTTTTACTTATTCTGAACCTTCTTTGGAAATTTGGCCGGTATTTGCATAATAACCCTGAATATATTCGAAAATGGTTGTGGTAACAGTTTATAAATTATCTAAGGTTTTGTGTTGTAAAAGATACCCTTCGCGTGTCTGGACGAAATAGGCGTAAAGAGCCGTTCCGCAACTTCTTGCGTTTACCTAAGTTATCTCTTGAATTCTATGACGCCTATACAAAGTTATTGTTCAATCCTGACACAATTTCGATACGACAATAAAGCAACAAATCGAAACCAAAAAGGATTAGTTGGAAAATAGGAAATTAACAGGTTACAAAATTATTTATTTACAATGTTTAGTAAATATTTTATAAGAGATTCATAAATAAGTATGATACATATGCGTTAATAACGATTATTCATAAAATCATCCAGACGCGCACTAAAGCGACTCTTATTGATTTTTTTTGCTACATTTGGTGCGCATCTCGTTAAACTTTGTTTGCTCTGATTTGATGTCTTACTAAGTATTTATAAAAACTTACAACAAATGTAAGAAATTAAATGTGTTAAAGTTATATTCACAACAAAAAACCTTTATTTTCAACCAAAGAGTACCGTCATAGACAAATGGTAAACATTAAACCTATCAAATTGATAAAGAATGTAAAAAATTTAGTATTTCTGGTCTGATTTAGGCTCCGCGTACTTCAATCTGACGTCAAATAGAGCTATTAGTTTTCCTGTTCTAATTATAAAAAATGTTTTATATAGTGAAAATATGGATGATACGTAATAACTAATAAGTATTATATTTGGATATAATTATTTTTAATCCTGCACATTTACGTATAGTTCGCGCCCTTCACATGTACATTGTACGTATAAAATGAGATTTGCATATCTTACAGGTCGTCACTCAATATAGCCTTCTTCACTTGTGTCAAGGAATTTACCACGTCGAAGTTAATGATAATGAGTTAAGACGCGAACTGCACCGTACTATAAACTTCTCGAACGAGTGGGGCTCTATCATATTACGTTTTATTTCTTTTTTATACCCACATTCATAACAATAATTATTTTAACTTTAACTTTAATTATTATTTTAGTTAAGTTATTTATTATAATGTTAAATATTATATGATGTTGTATTTTGTATATAAAAATTTTTAAGAAAAAAAAAAATTAAAAGTCATTTTGTTTCGAGATTTCTTATATAAACACCCCCTTGGGTTTTAATTCAATATTTTAACTTAAAACTCTTTTTCGATCGCATTTTTGACTGAGGCGAGTTTATTTTATGAAAATTCCTGGAGAATCCAGTTAATGTTTCAAAATGTATGTAGTCTGTGGACCAGGTCTTTGTAGATTACATTAAAAAAAATTGCGGATTAGGCAAAGAACGGTGGTTTTGCTGGCAAAGCAATATATTACATCTTACTATTGCAATACACAACGTAATACGTAAAAAACACCATGGCAATGATATGTCATTTGATCAAGTGATTAACCCTAGAACCGTACCCTGGGGTACAACTGAAAAAATATTTTTAAAATTGGCTATAACTTTTTTGTTTTAAAACGGATCTTTTCGCACCGGTGCGTATTTATGGGGGACGGGGGGTGTGTGTCGAAGCATCAGTCGGGCGCGAGTTCTGTTAGCGTGCGATCGTGGCAACGCGTGTGTGGGGTACTCCAGCACCCCTGGGTACAGTTATGGTAATTATATTAGTTACTAATTGCTGGATGTTTTTTATGAAATAAGCTATGCTATTTTTTTGTTTGATTCATGATTTTAATTTTAACATTGCAATATTACCTTAGAAGTAACTTTGTCTTCATACGATGTGTTTGTACTTAATATTTATTTGCAATATTTATACAATTTTATTTACGTATTTTGTTTAGTAACGAATTTTTTGTAATTCTTCTTTTTAGATGGCATCAAGAAAAAACCTTTCAGAAAATGAAATTCAAAACCTCCTTCTGGACGTTCATGATGAAGATGAAGTGTTTCTTGGGGATGAATTAGAAGATGAACTGGATGAAATTATTCCCGATTTTCGCGATGAACAGGTTCCTGTCGAAGAGGATGGCTCTAACCATGAAACAGATCTTGAAAGTTCGGAAGAAAAAAATTGAAGAGGATATTGTCCAGGTTAGAATCACAAATTCTCCAGTAACAGTTCTTACAGTACCCGAAGTTTTGCGAGGTAAAGGAACAAAAAAGCAAAGAACTAGCGAAAAATTTCTATGGTATGGGACTCATCGCCGTTCCTCGCGTACTCCACAAAGAAATATAATATTTCATGCACCAGGAAATAAAGCTCTTGCTAAATTTACTACCAGTGCCTTAGATAGTTGGAAATTATTTTTTCTATCTTGAGATATCTGAACAGCGCAAGAAGTATAAGTCAGACAGGCCAATAGCATCTCAAAATGATGATGATGATGATAATTCTGTTCCTACGAGTATTCGACCTTCTTTTGTCCGATATGTAACCGTAACCGAATTAAAAGCTCTCTTTAGCTTATACTATTTAGCTGGAGTTTTAAAAATTAATCACTTGTCTGTCAAAGAAATATTTGATAAAAATACGGGCATCAACTATTTTCGGTCTACTATGGGTGAGAAAAGATTCGAATTTTTGACAAATTGTCTTCGATTTGATGATCGTTCGACCAGAGCTGAAAGAAGACAACATAGTAAATTGGCACCAATAAAAGAACTGTTCGATCACATTGTTGAAACTTCAAAAAGTCTTTATTCACCTTCAGATTGCACAACGATTGACGAGCAATTACTTGGGTTTCGCGGTAGATGCCCATTCCGTATGTATATTCCATCAAAACCCGATAAATATGGAATAAAACTGTTAATGTTTTGTGATGCAAAATCGTATTATATGATAAATAGTATAATATACACTGGAAAAGATTCTACACCACGTGAATTACCAGTGGCTGAGTATTACGCATTGGAGCTTTCAACTTCTATTCATGGGTCTAATAGAAATATCACGTACGATAACTGGTTTACTTCAATCCCTGCTGCCGAAAAACTCTTAAGCAAAAATTTTACAACAGTTGGAACAATGAAAAAAAAAAACAAAACAGAAATCCGTACTCATTTTTTGGAAACCAAAAACCGCCTCAAGAACACATCAATGTTTGCTTTTCATGACGAACTTACTTTGTTATCATATGTGCCTCCAAAGCTAAGTAAAGGAAAAAAGAAAAACGTGATTATGCTTTCTACCATGCACTATCAACCAGACGAAGACAAATCTGTTGATTTACCAGAAATAATAAGTTTTTATAATCAAACGAAAGGAGGAGTGGACACTTTTGATCAGCTTTGTCATACATACAGTGTTTCTCGCAAAACTCGTCGCTGGAGCCTTTGTGTATTCTACGGAATTTTGAACATTGTGGAAATTAACTCCATGATATTACTGCATTCATCAAAAGCCAATGGTAAACAAGTTTTCAAGAACAGACGGAGTTTTCTGAAGGCCTTAGCTTTTGACCTTATAAAACCTTATTTGGAGGACCGATTTTTATATAAAACTTTGCCTATGCATCTACAAATAAGTATTGGCGGTATTTTAGAAAAAACACGACCTTCTAGTGCTCCATTATCTTTAAATTCAAAATCTGGTAGATGTTCATTTTGTCCCAGGTCAAAAGACCGTAAATCACGCACTCGATGTGAAAAATGTAAAAGTTTTATATGTTTAGAGCACCAAAAAAAGATTTGCCAAAATTGTTAATTTAAGTTTGTTAATTTTTTGTTTAATTATGTAACGTGAGACTGAAATAAGTGCCATAAAAGACTATGTATGTTGATTATTAATAAATGTCTATTCTTATGTAAAAAAATGTTTTATTTAACGGGGTACACTAGAACCCCCTGGGTACTGTTATTTAAAGTCTATTATGGGTACGATTCTAGGGTTAAAGTTATTAATTATTTATATTTACGCCCAATGCCCATGGACGTCAGTTTTACACAGACAATGGCAACTACGTCTGTTACACTATATTTATATTTACGCCCAATGCCCATGGACGTCAGTTTTACACAGACAATGGCAACTACGTCTGTTACACTATATTTATTTACGCCCAATGCCCATGGACGTCAGTTTTACACAGACAATGGCAACTACGTCTGTTACACTATATTTATATTTACGCCCAATGCCCCTGGACATTCAGTTTTACACAGACAATGGCAACTGCGTCTGTTACACTGTATTTCACACTTACTTTCACATATTTATAGACAGTGGACAGTTTAATCACCGTCTTCTTTAACTATATTTATTATATTTTAAATAAAAGTAATATAAATTAAAATTTAATAAAACAATTCAAATATTGTAAAAGAACTTACGTAATGCACATGAGTTTGTCTATTGCTAAGTATTTTTAACTCTTTTTTATTAATAATTTTATCTAAGTTTGTCCCAATGCGTTATTATGCATTCGAATTTATAAATGACACCCTGCCCCAGAAGCACCCATTTCTACAGGTTCTCATTTAAAAGGTGACAGTGGGTGCTGACACCAATGTTTCATTAGATGGACAAATTGTAGTGGCAATGGACAGGCCACTTTGTTAATATTAGATAATAATATTAATAATACCCTGGCCGTTAGTTTAGACATAGCGCAGGCATTTGATCGGGTTCGGCATAGCGCTTCTTACGAATTTTCCTTTTAATGGGGTTCCTGAGAAACGTAATTGGGTTACCAGTTTTCTCAATCCATCGGAGCATTAAAGTCGTAATCGACAGTGAATGCTCCGACTTCAATCTTCCGAATGCTGGAGTTCCACAAGGCTGCATGCTATAGCCAACTCTGTTCCTTCTGCATATGAATGACATGTTGCAAACTAGTAACATTCATTGTTATATAGACAGCACTGGCGATGCTTACACCGGCCGTGCTAATATTTCTCGGGCACATTACAAACAACTGTGCCGGAACAAACTTGTGACAGAGGACGAGTCTTTGTTAGACATTGGGTGTGTTTGGCGGAAAAAAGCGCTAGCAAGCGCTTGTAAGCAAAATGGTGAAACTAAACAGTTTTCGGCCAGGACACGTTTGCTAACTTCAGTAGCGCTGACATAATCCGCCATTTTGCTTATTTCATTTGTTTGTTTTGAAGTAGAGTTTATAAGTTGTTTTGTGCAATATTAGTTTTAAGTAATATATGACATGAATAAACATATACATGTTATTAAAAATTCATGATTGGTAAGTTTTTAATATGAATACTTTACAAACATATATTTAAATTAGGTTAGGTTCCCCGGTTAAAACTAACTTCGTGTTCTAGAGGAAAATAGCTACTTACAGCGCTTACCGCTTACGATCGCCATTTTGCTTACAAGCGCTTGCTAGCGTTTTTTTCTGCCAAACGCACCCAAATTCTCTGACTGTAGGTGACTCAATTTAGTCCAGTACAACCCTCAAAAGACACAAGACACGCGTTTACTGCTAAGAAAAACCTCTTTGTCGTATCTATTTAATTTCAGAGCACTCCTGCTGCTGCCTCAGCTATCATCGGTATCCTTGGTGTCGACATTTCAAGAGACGTACAGTTCCGCAGTCACTCGGAAGGGAAGGCTAAAGTGGCATCTAAAAAACTTTATGTGCATAGTAGATCGAAACGGTATTTCATGACGGCCCACCATTTGCAGCTTAAAAAAGCGCAGTTTCGACCTCCTATGGAATACGGTTTTCATATCTGGACCGAATAATCCTAGTATCGGTTTCTTAAATTTGACAACATTTAACGGAGAGCAGCTCGAATCATTGACGACCAAGCTCTTTGCGCTTTTGACAGCTTGATTCACTGGCCTAGCGATGAGCTGTTGCATCTCTGTATATCTTTTATCGCATATACAGCGGGGAGTGCTTAGAGGAATTGTTCAGATTTATTTCAGCTGCTGAATTTCACCATCATATACTGCGACATCCACCATCATATCTTCATAATCTCTAGAGTGGGCGGTCCAATGCCGTGCGATTTATATGGAATTTTCTGCCACGCACGATCACACTACGGAATTTACTGAACCCAGCGGTTTGTCGTGAACGCTACCGACCTTTAAGAAAATGGTCTTTTTTCTAGGTCTGTCACGCAACCAGCAATTTCCTTGGTTTTGAATATGTTAATGGGTGGCGGTGATCATTTAGGCACCATCAGGTGAGCCGTCAGCTCGTTAGGCCTCCTCTTTAATAATGAAAAAATCAGGGTTAATTTAATTATGATAGTTAAATAGCGACAATCGTCAGGAAAGAGTATTAGTTACAAAATAAACATGCAAGATGCAAGACATCAACAACTACGCACAACAATGAAGGATGATATTTAAGAAATATAATAAAACGTTACCACTTATAGGTATCATTGTATAGCAATAACAAATAAAACGATTTGATTTTGACAACGATAAAAAATAGTCACTCTTCATTAATATCTAATATTATTTAACTACAAATGGAATATTGTAGTTTAGTGCTAGGCAAACTTAACAATTGTGTTATGTATTGCTTTATAACGCTTAGAAGTTTAATATTTACAAAGGGTATTATTTATAACAAGTGAACACACTATATTTCAGCACTTTTGTTTAACCTCAATCTGGCATATCTATACTAGTCACCGGCACTACTGGTTTCATAGTCTCGTTTTTCTTTTGATTTTTCTGTGACTTCTTTTCTTTTACTTTCTTATGAGTTTCTTCGTCGCGGTAAGGCTCTTGGTTGACTGGCGGCTCATTGGCCATGGCATTAGAGTCCCTATTGACGTTGTTATTATAAGCTATGTTGGCGTATTCTTGTAAAAGCGGGAAAACCGATAGAAGAAACTGGCAGAAATCTTTCCTTATGCCAAACCACCCTAAAAATAAAAACATCATACAATCATAATGATATATGATACAAACGTAAATAGATGTCTCTATGAAATCAAATTCTCTGCGTGATAAACTTAGAAATGAGGATATCCGCAATAGAACCAGAGTAACCGACATATCCCTGGGCCGGCCATATAGCTCGAAGAACCCACAACCGATGGGGGAAAAAAGGTTCTCGAGTGGCAGCCTCGTACGGGGGGCGTAGTGAAG